GTTCTAGCTGTGTCTGGAACGCCTGTTCGGCCACTAGTGCCGCCGACTTTGGGTGCGGACCAACTGCAGCACGTGTGGCTCCAAATGTGGGGTCGAACAATCTCAGCAATTTTGGCTTCGCTTGAGTGGCCCCCCTCTGTTCTCTCATCTCTATCACTTCCACAGGCAAAGCTGTCTGTTGGAAATTCTGGATCTTGGAGAATGATTTTTCCACACTGGGTGCCTGCCTGTGGGCGGGTCCGTCGCCTTGATGTAGCAGTCTGGAACGTACGGGCTTGGGCTTGGGCTTGGGCTTGGGCCCCAGAATGAGAATTCGCGACCCCAAAATAGGGGCCGCCAAGCGGCCCCGATTTTGGGGTCCTCTAGTGGCCAGTCAAAACATGTTAAAAGGAGGTTGGCTGCATTTCGCGGCTCCTTTTCTGGGGCCGCGAGACGGCCCCATTTTTGGTAATGACTTTGGGGAGCGTCTGGTGGAGGACCGTTTGGAAGGTCGAGCCAAGCGGAATGCAACTCTCATGTTTATCACTTCCACAGGCCTTCTAGGAGGACTGGTTTCTCCCACGACTTCCACCACCCAAACTTGACAACGAAGAGTCGTCCCCACCGGCAGGTAAGGAAACTGGTCTCCTCATCCCGAAGCGCAGCTGGAGCCAACCTTCACGACCAAGCTTTTGGGGCACAAACACCAAGCACTCACGAAGTTTGTTCCCAGTCACTCTAACCGACCAAGTTGGACTTCACTCTCACAAAAGCGAGCAGAAAGCAAAGCGCGCACACACTCGGACTTCTTTTCACTCCGTCTTGAGCCAAAACAGTTTGCGGTCACAAGGTGAAAGCTTTCTCTACTGCTTGACCTGCACAAACACTAAGGCTGCGAAGCAAAGCTGAGCTCGAAACTCTAAGTGGCAACTTCAAGACTTCACTTGAGCAGTCAGAAACATCTTGAACGTACCACTGCACTTCAGAGCACTTCAGTCACTCATGAAATCATGAAAACAAATTCATGCGAAGTCAAATCATGCAACATGCGCTTGAAACACTTTTCTTCTGCTGCAATTGCTTTGGTGTGGAGGGCTTCAGACTGATTCGAATTAATGCTTCAAACGTCAGATTGATGGTGGTCTGGTACAGCCGCAACTGACATGTCGACATAGGCGAGGCATGTGCTTCCAATCAGAAATGCGGAGAAGGGCATAGACCCAGGGCGGCTGCAAGCCATCCCTTTTGTGAGCACGGAGGCTGTAGAGACCGATGCGAGGGGATTGGCACGGCAACGGGACGCATCCGGAGGCGAAGGACCACTGTTCACAAAATCCACTGCGCAGAAGCAGCTGGCACAGAGTCGTCGGACACTCACACAGAGCGATGATAGAGCTGGCGGTATGTAATTAACAGACATTGTAGACTGAAAGAGAGCCTTCCAACTGATGATGGTCTTGTGGAGGGTGGCGTAGAGGTCCACCAATTGAGAGAGAGACGGAATGATCTGCTGCCGGCTGTTAGTCGCTGGTGTGCGTTCTCAGTGAACCGACCTGCCTTGTCCACTAAACAGGTATCCACAGCGCCAGTAAAGCAACATAGGTTCTGTAGGGCCGACCTGGTGAAGCCAGAATTGCTTGTGTTTTGGCCTTAAAAATGGGGTACAGCCCATAACAGCGCAGCTTTGAGATCGTACAAACAGGGAATTTTCCAGAGGTGACTCTAGCATCTCTGAACAGAGTACATCAAGCCAATGCAGAGTTATGGTATCGAGAAGGTCGGCCGGAACAGATCAACAACAGCGGCGGAATTTTAAGGCATCTCCACCAGATTTGAACAGGAATTCTTTAGCTGTTATCAAGAGGTGCGGCGACGCAAAACGAGTGGGCAGATCGAAAAACACCAAAGATCAATGCACTTTTTCCAAACAGGCGCAGAATCTCCGAAATCAGAAAACACATGTGTTGCGGAGAAGTGGCACAGGTCTGTGTGCGCGGAGATGTGGTGTTGCTGAGCAACAAAGTTCTTGAAGCGTCTGTTGCGATGTTGTCCGTCTGTGCAGAGGCGCAAGACCTTCGAAGGCCGAGGCGGATGCAACCTGCGCCCAGAGACACGCAACCCCAAAAGCAATTTATTGGTCTTGACACCTTTCATTAAGATGCAGCCACAATCATTTTCTAATCCAAGCACTGGAAAGAATGGTGTTTGCTTGCAAAAGTCTAAAAAAAAAAACCCGATTTGACGCAGAGACTCAGAGAGCAAAAAGAAATTGAAGTAGAGGCGCAACTTCCCGCAGTGAAAAGTGCAGTTCGGACTGTTTAAGGGGACGCAACAGCCGTTCCTGCAACAGCAAATGCGACCAGAAGCAAGGCAGAGGCAATGAATGTCGCCAAGCGGCCCCGATTTTGGGGTCCTCTAGTTACCAGTCAAAACATGTTAAAAGGAGGTTGGCTGCATTTCGCGGCTCCTTTTCTGGGGCCGCGAGACGGCCCCATTTTGGGGGTCGCAAGTTTGATTCCTGCACCCACAGCGGCTGAATCTCGTCAGCTGCGCAAGTCATTGATTGTAACTTTGGGGAGCGTCTGGAGGAGGACCGTTTGGAAGGTCGGAACTTGTCCAAAGCAGCTGTGTGCTCGCCCTTAAAAGTGCTGTAGCCAGATGCAACTGTTCTCTCATGTCTATCACTTCCACAGGAGCTGTCTGTTGGAAATTCTGGATCTTGGAGAATGATTTTTCCACACTGGGTGCCTGCCTGTGGGCGGGTCCGTCGCCTTGATGTAGCAGTCTGGAACGCACGTGCTTGGACTTGGGCCCCAGAATGAGGAATTCGCGACCCCAAAATAGGGGCCGCCAAGCGGCCCCGATTTTGGGGTCTTCTAGTTGCCAGTCAAAACATGTTAAAAGGAGGTTGGCTGCATTTCGCGGCTCCCCATTTTTTTTGGGGTCGCAAGTTTGATTCCTGCACCCACAGCGGCTGAATTTCGTCAGCTGCGCATGTCATTGATTGTAATGACTTGGGGGCGTCCTTTCTCTCATATCTATCACTTCCACAGGCAAACTGTCTGTTGGAAATTCTGGATCTTGGAGAATGATTTTTCCACAGTGGGTGCCTGCCTCTGGACGGGTCCGTCGCCTTGATGTAGCAGTCTGGAACGTACGGGCTTGGGCTTGGGCTTGGGCCCCAGAAGGGTCCTCTAGTTGCCAGTCAAAACATGTTAAAAGGAGGTTGGCTGCATTTCGCGGCTCTCCATTTTTGGGGTCGCAAGTTTGATTCCTGCACCCACAGCGGCTGAATCTCGTCAGCTGCGCATGTCATTGATTGTAATGACTTTGGGGAGCGTCTGGTGGAGGACCGTTTGGAAGGTCGGAACTTGTCCAAAGCAGCTGTGTGCTCGCCCTTAAAAGTGCTGCAGCCAGCGGCATGCAACTGTTCTCTCATGTCTATCACTTCCACAGGCAAGCTGTCTGTTGGAAATTCTGGATCTTGGAGAATGATTTTTCCGCACTGGGTGCCTGCCTGTGGGCGGGTCCGTCGCCTTGATGTAGCAGTCTGGAACGCACGGGCTTGGGCTTGGGCTTGGGCCCCAGAATGAGGAATTCGCGACCCCAAAATAGGGGCCGCCAAGCGGCCCCGATTTTGGGGTCCTCTAGTTGCCAGTCAAAACATGTTAAAAGGAGGTTGGCTGCATTTCGCGGCTCCTTTTCTGGGGCCGTCAGACGGCCCCATTTTTGGGGTCGCAAGTTTGATTCCTGCACCCACAGCGGCGGAATCTCGTCAGCTGCGCATGTCATTGATTGTAATGACTTTGGGGAGCGTCTGGTGGAGGACCGTTTGGAAGGTCGGAACTTGTCCACAGCAGCTGTGTGCTCGCCCTTAAAAGTGCTGCAGCCAGCGGAATGCAACTGAACAACATACCCTTCCCGTCCCTTTTGTGCACTTGGCCGAGCTTCCCAAAGAGGGCCTCGCAAGAGCAGGACGGAGAGGCGCTGAGAGTAGAGGAATGCGCCCAAGCACCCATACAGAAGCGGAGAGCGTGCCGCAGTGGCAAGTGCATGAGCACGTTAATTCGAGCCCAGCTTCCCAACAATGTGGGCCTTGCAAGGGCAGATACGGAAGTTCGTGGTGGATTTCTTTTCTCAATGTTTGTAAGTTCAACTTTGTAGAAGCTTGAGAAGCACTTTGCCGCAGCGCGCGCAGTTCGCAATCAGCACGGCGCAAGCGCCTACGACGTTTGGGATCGTGTTAAAGATTGTCGTGAGAGCCACCGCCGGAAACCTCTACTTGGCTGCGGTGCAGATTTGAAGGGTGCCATGGCTGATGACTCTTATGCTAGGGTCAAGAAGAAGCAGAATTAGATTTCTCTCCAAGCAAAGCTCATTGCCGAGCCCTCAGAAAACCGTGTGGTCGACATGCTTGAGGCTCTCCCTCGTTCCGAATCAGATTTTTACAGCAGCGAGAACAATTGCATTGACATGGCTGGTAAAGCTAGGCAGCTTCAAGATGAGATTGAGCAGCAGTTTGCTTTTGTTGGAGGCACGTTTGACGAGTACTGCAAATATTTTCACAGAAGCGATTTGTCCAGCAACATGTGGTCATGGAGTCCAAAGCAATTGCTGGTTTTTTGTGTGTGTCTAAGAAAGACGGTGTTACTCAATGCAAGTTGCTGATGTGTTGTTCCTTCAACTACCTGCTGTCGGATGTGGAGGCTCGGTCAAGACTAGAGATGACCGGGACTGGCGCTCTCGCGCGAACTCATCTCGAGAAGCTGGGCTTGAAGGCAGCAGTTTGTGTCCAGTCGAATGCGTTTACAAGCGTGCTGGTCCCAGAGTGGATGATCCCGTACCAGGCGTTCCGGCGGGCGAGATCTGGGAGCTTTTGCTCAGTGTCTTCGTGTCGGATTGTCCGTTTCTGATTGGGTATGTCCGTGTTACATGCGTTTGCCCATGGGTTGCAGTCACTCTGTGCACATTGGGCTGCCATCCGGAAGGCTCGCCTCGCCCCACACCGGGTGTTTGTGATCATGCATCTGTTCGGAGGGGAGCGGCGGGTGAACGACCAGCATTTTGCCGAGCGCTTCGCGGAGGAAGCGGGGCTCACAGTGCTCTTTGCAACCGTAGACCTGGCGACTGATCATCGCTGGGACATTGCTCGCGAAGACACTCAGCACGAGCTTTTGGGCATGATGTCAGGCTTCGTGGATTTACTCATGTTGGGCCCGCCGTGTTCCACAGTCTCCAGGGCCAGGCATGCCGACAACAGTGTAGGAGTCAGACCGGTCCGTTTTCGTGATTGTTTCTGGGGCAGGCCGGGTCCTCTTCATCATGAGCGTGTTAGGGTCGAGGAGGCGAATGTGCTGTACAAGCATATTTCTGTGGGAGCACCCGAAGGACCCTGGCTGCCAGCCTTATCCATCGATCTTTGCCACGACTGAGTTTAGAGAGATGCTGGTGCGCACGGGTTCCGCTTCGGTGTCTTTTGATCAATGCACTCTTGGAGGTCCTACTCGAAAGCCGACCACTTTGGCTGGCAATGCTCGGGGCTTCGATCGTTTTGTCCACTGCGCTTGTCCCGGTGAAAGCTCTTCTCATCGGCATGGACGTTCAATGGGGTTTGACAGTGAAGGTCACTTTCTCACAAGACGGCTGCAAACCTATCCTCCAGGTATGTGTCGGCTAGTTGCGGAGTGTATGATCGAGTCGTGCACAGCGTGGCAGGCTTCCGGAGAAGGGCCGACGGGTTTCTTTGCAAAGGGGCCCCGGGCGCCTTTGGCTCCATGGTCGGTGAGTGCCTCAGCTGATCGCATAGGAGTCAGGATTTTGAACGAAGCCGTGGAGGATCATGTTCGAGTGCTGCTGGGGGATGATCATTTAGGCCTCTACCTGCATGTGGACGATACGCTACTTCTCGGAGTGGGCGCATGTGCTAGGCTGACGGGCCCTTTGATGGAGGAGATTGCTGACAACATGGAGGCCGCAGGTTTCCGAGTACCAGATCGGCGATCGGGTGATAAGATCGCGAAAGTGGTAGGCTATGAGATTGATGCGCAGAAGGGCGAATTTTCTTTGCCCCATAAGAAGGCCCGCTTACTTCAGGCCGCTTTCCTCGAAGTGGCGAGCGCTCGTTTCGTGTGTGTCGAATTGCTCAGGGCTCTGGTCGGGATCTGGAGTTTCGGTGCACAACTTAGACGGGAACTGTATTCCATCCCATTTTCGGTATACCACATGTTGGACATTTGCGAAGGCCAGTTTGTGCGTCTCTGGCCGTCGGTGAGGCGAGAGCTCATCGCTATGGCTAGGGCTGTGGACTTCATGGTTTTGCGGGCCTCGGACCCAGTGAGCAGATTGGTGTTCGCAACGGACGCCATGGGAGCTGATGATGTGGATTGTGGGGGTTATGGGATTTGCGTGGCTCAGGCTACTTACGAGGAGTTTGCGGCTCTGATGTGGGCCGGTGAAGAGCCGGGGTTTGCCATCTCCGAACAAGACCGGGGTCTGAAGGGTTTTCGCAATCCTGCTGACATGATCAAGCTTACACGTCCGTTTTCGAGATTGCCCCGGTCTTTGTTTGAAGATTTTAGGTGGACTGAGTTGCAGGCGGGCCGATGGCGGTCGGCCGATCACATCACCATAGGAGAAGCCAGGGCTGTCACAAAGTGCTTGGAACTGGTTTGCCAACGGCCTTCTGCGCATGATCAAGTGTACTTTGCTTTGCAATATAACCGTCCGTGTGCGAGCGCAATGACCAAAGGAGACCAAAGGAAGGTCCTCGTCATGGGGGCTAAACTTTTACCTGAGGCGAAGGGCTGCGCTTGGGATTGCATGTGGATTGCGCTTCATTTTCTCGTGGTGCCAGTCTGCACTCATGCCGGCCGATCGGGCCTCAAGACGTCAAAGCGTAGCATCCGTGAAAGGGCCCGGGGGAGGGCTCGGGTATGCAACATTTCCGACCACACAGGCTCGACCCGCTTCATGTGCACTCCGTCTTGAGTGACACTTACAAGCGCTACGAAAGGGCGGTTGAGAAGTTTGAGGTTTTCTTGCTTCAGAACGACGCGGCTCCTACTTCTGCTGCTGAGCTTGACGAGTGGTTCGTTTTGTTCCGCCGGGAGGCCTCTTTGACCAGATCACAGTTCGAGGTCACCTTGGCGGGCATCCAGTTTTTGGCACCGCGCTTAAAGGGAAAGTTGCCCCTTGCGAAGAAGGTCACCAAAGGTTTGGCGATCGAGTACCCTGCGAAGCATGCTTTCCCTATGTTGTCTCGTTCGGCTAGGTTCATTGCGAGTAAGATGGCAACTGCAAGTGAGCATCGTTTGGGAGTTTGTATGCTACTGCAGCAAGCAACAGGGCTTCGTCCATCAGAGATGCTGGGTCTGTGCGAGCACGATATTATTCGACCCAGTGACTTCGTGCCTCGCTATGTTCTTCGCCTTGGTACCAATGTGGGCACCAAGGTGGGGAGAGAGCAGACCGCGTTCTTTGACCCGGAACAGGACCCAGTGCTCGCCATGCTGTTGTTTAGGTTGCTGCGGGCCACGCCCGAGCGGGGATCACTGGCTGCTTGTGGATATGATCACTATAGGAGGGTGCTCGCTCGACACAGTGCATGCTTGGGAGTGCAATACTCGCCTCACTCTTGCAGGGCCGGCTTCGCAACAGAGGCTATCATCAAAGGCGAGGCTCCCGCCCTCGTGCAGAGGCGCGGTCGGTGGAAATCGGAAGCGAGTTTCCTTGTGTACATCGACGTGGTCACCGCTTTGCAGGTCGAAGCTGAATTTCGTAGCAGGGCACTGGATTCTGAGATTGACGCGGCCTCGCGCAACCTGCTGGGCTGCTTCCCAAAGGGGTGCTTTGCAGTGGCAGCCCATGGGCCTGCCGGTTACCGTGGCCATCAAAGACGCCTCGGAGGAGTCCTCGGAGTACCAGCCGCCCGCTCCTTCGCGTCCTGTGAGGTCTCAGCCACGCCAACGGGCCATGACTCCGCCTCCTCGAGCTCTTCAGTCCCAAGCTCGACGGCGCCACAGTTCTCACCGCGGAAATGCGCGCGCAACTACCCGCGGATGGTTTGGTGGGATCTGCTGCAGACGGCGCAGTGCGTGATCCTCCTAGGCGGGGCGCTCTTCGAAGGAAGCAGGCCTCCTGGTTTGGCTGGATTGGGAAGTCGTGCTGCAAGGGAGCGGCTCGGCTTGCATGCTGGTGCTTTGGGGCAGCTTGGCCTATGTCATCACGGCTGGGCCGATGCGTGAACTCTTGTTGCCGGTACAAAGCCTATACTGGTGTCCACGGCGCAGGTTGGTGAGAGCGCTTCTGGATGGTGGCACGCAGCTGGTTTCGGCTTCTACAAGCGTGGTTAAGGCGGCTTCGGTTAACACTCTAAGTGTGGCGCAGGCCGCCTGGATTGGAGTGGACCTCGTCGGCATGAACGCCACGAAAGTGGTTGGGCGAGTCTTGGGTGAAACATCTGAGGCCATTGAGCTCTGGCTTTTCTCGGCGCAGGGTCGCGAAGTGCTGCGGGACCCGGCTCAGGAAGCCTTGACTTTCTGGTTGGGGTTGCTGCGCTCGCAAACTTTCCACTTGCCGGTGGTGGCCGCCGAAACCGAGGCGCTGGTGCAGGTGACTACTGGACGGCTTCTGGGGTCGTCTCCTTCGCCTCCAACGGCCTCGTGGATGCTTCGCATGACTTTTTCGCCACGCTGGGCCAACCCTGTGTGGCAAGTGGGCGGCTGGAACGCGGAGGATGAGTATGATCAGATTTTGCTTCTCGCCCGCGACTTCGCTACTACCGTGCCTGCGGTCAACCACACGTGGGACCAAATTTTGGCCCCGCCGCCCTCCTCAGCTCACTGGCCTGCCATTGTGGGACTCCTGCGCCGCTTGGGGGCTCTTTTCGGGAGGCCGCTGCGAGCCAGCTGGCGCTTCTGGGCTTCCATGTGGGAGTATGGGACCATGCGTCCGCTGGCGCTTGGAGGTTTGGTGCTCGTGACTGCAGGTGGCTGCCTTTGTGTTCGGCGTCTCGGCCCTCTCGCTGCACCTCCAGCCGAAGGACAACTTGTGCACTGGTGCAGACTGGTGGAACTCATGTTGCTCATGCGTGGCTGGATGTTGGTGCGCGGGGGATCGCTAGCAAGGCAGCTACTTCATTGATTCCAGAGGGGGTGTGGGCTTTTCTTTTCGGGCAGTTTTTCGCAGTTAGCACAGGCCTCACTTTGAGGCGCCGAGACTGTGAAAGGAGCTGCTACCGCCATCTGGTCTGAAATGGACTTATGAACGCTATGTAGCCTGGTCCGCACGTTCGCGGGTTCACGGGTTCACGGGTTCACGGGTTCACGGGTTCACGCGTTCACGGGTTCACGGGTTCGCGGGTTCACGGGTTCGCGGGTTCACGGGTTCACGCGTCCACGGGTTCGCGGGTTCACGCGTTCGCGGGTTCACGCGTTCACGGGTTCACGCGATCACGCGTTCACGGGTTCACGGGTTCACGGGTTCAAGCGTTCACGCGTTCACGGGTTCACGCGTCCACGGGTTCGCGGGTTCACGCGTTCGCGGGTTCACGCGTTCGCGGGTTCACGCGTTCACGGGTTCGCGGGTTCACGCGTTCACGGGTTCACGGGTTCGCGTGTTCACGGGTTCGCGGGTTCACGGGTTCACGCCTTCACGCCCCGAGCATCCGTTATTGATCACAATCAATCCTTTCAGCTTACTTGTTATATTGATTTTGGGGGCCTCATGGGACCTACTATATTGATTATATCAATTATATTGATATTGACTTGTTGTTTAAATTTGTGTAAAATTTGTATGTTTTCCAATTGACTTTAACATTATTGATTGTTTAGATTGATTCTGGCATTGATATTTTTTCCGTGGACAAACACTAAGCTTAAAGCTTGTTCCTTCCAGCCAAAGCATAGAAGGCTGTCCACTTCGGATAATGAAAGCAGGGTTCGGGGATGCTGAAGGTTGGGGTTGGGGTCTAAGGTTTGGGGGGATGTCGGTGGTCCTAATAAGCAGGCGAATTCCGGGGTTTAGGGGTTTAGGGATCCGTAAAGCTTTTTTTTTGGTGGGGGGCTTGGAGCTTGGTGGGTTTATAGGATGCACGGTTTCCGAGTGTAGTTGCTTGCTTTTCGGGGTTTGTGTTTAGGTTTGCTTTGTGGTTTCATGGGTGTGCGCTGCCCTCGTTCGGGTTTGTATTTGTAGATATAATATAGAGTCAGCTAAAATCATCGAATCCAATCCATGAATTTATATATTGTATATGTAGAACGAAAACCGCTATGTAGATGGATATATGTATATATATATATATATATATATGCACGATTTTGTTGTACATAAACATACTGTGTGTCTATGAGTATATGCACAAATGTGGAAATGAACTTGTTTTCCATAAATGGAAAATCCAATTGTATCTAAAGCATAAAACCATTAATTATATCCGATGAACATAAATATCACATATATGCACTATAATATATATATATATATATATATATATACACATATATATATATATATGCACACACATATATATATATATGTACATAAAAGATGTGCAAAAATAAATGATTATGTATATATAATATTACCACAATCTCATCTAATCTACAATTTCGCAATCCACTCTAACTATAAAACAATCGAATCCAATCTATATTCTACATAGGAACGAAAAAGGAAAATACATGTATTTACCAATATATGTAAACAACAAAAAACGAATACATGTAGAGCCCATAGCTGAACCATAGAAGTAGATAATAACTTTCAAAGAGTATGAACACAATACATGAAAACAATAACAAAATAAGAGCTAGGTGGATTTAAGTATATATATATATATAAGAATCTAATTATGGCAAGACATACACAAACATGATGTCATCAAAACTATACCCCACCCTCCCCACTCCACGCAAAACCAGAAAAGTGCCGAGTTCATCCATCCCTTGACAGCAGTAACAGCCCACCCCCCCCACCGACATGACCAAAAAAGCACTTGTTTTAGCTGGCCCACCCACCCCCCCCGCCCTCATCTGAAAACTTGAAGACAATTCGCCCGAAAAGCATTATTGGCCAAGAGTTTTGCGCTATATAAAGTCATAGAGTCATGTACATAAAGTCATAGAGTCAAGTGCACAGAGTCAGTACAGAGAATCCAGTGCATAGAGTCACGGAGTCATTGCGCGCGCAACACAAAAGTAGCAACTTTACCACGCGTTTGTGCTTTCGACCACGCCAATCCACGCAAAGGGTTGCGCGGGCACCGCAACGCAACACAAAAGCAGCAACTTTACCACGCGCTGGTTCAAGGTGCCCTAGGGATATTGACTTAAGGGATCTGGGGGGAATCCAAGTGCCTTGATTTCAGCGCTTTTTCACATGAGGGAGGGGGGTGTGCAAGCGAATGAAGCGCTTTTTTTGGTCATGTCGGTGGAGGTGTTAAGTGGGACGGGGTGGGTTGTTAGTTGTGTCAGGGCCAAGGATAAAATCTGCGCTTTTCCGGTTTTGGGAGGTGCAAAGGGGAGGGTGGGGTCCTTGTTACGATGAAATTATAGTATGGTCTGTTCCTTTAATAACGTTAATATGTATACATGTATATATATATATACATATGGTTTATAATATGTTTCTGTTTTGTTTTATTTATTGTTTATGTAGTTATGTGTTTCTTTATTTGGTCACTTTTGTATTTTTCGTAATTTGTTTCCTTATTTATTGATTTATTCATTTACGTATTACATATTTATTTGTTTGTTTATTTATTTGTTTAGTTGGTTATTTGTTTATTCAATTTCCATTTCAATTATATATGTACATATAAAGCTGTAGTACCTAGTGCCCACTTTATGTTTGATTTCATGTGTAAATTCATGTTCATTCACAGTCTTATACACTAGCTATGCACACAACATGTTTCTTCGAGGTTGTATTTACTTTTTTGCATAGATATGTTCTTTCTATTCGTTGCTATGTCGCTTACATTCGATACAGATTAGATTGGGTTCTTTTAGATTGGATTGCAGATCTGTATAGTTTAGATGAAATTGGAAATATGTTTGTGAATAGTGAAATAGCTATTACATATGATATTTCCAGATCGGATGTGATGTTAATCATTTTTCATTCCAGCTGAACTTGGATTTACTTGTTTATTGAATTGAATGCAAACTATATATGTATACCATATGTTTATGTATATGTACATATTTATATACATATATGTATATATACATATATATATATATATATAAAGAGCTGCTTGATTTCTAAAAATAACTTCATATATAGATTGGAATTGATGTATTGAGATGACACTGTATATTTTATGTACGAATACAGACCCGAAGCCCTCGAAAGAGGGCAAAACCGAAACCACGAACCCGGAACAAAACCCGCAAATACATTGAGAAACCATGCACCCTAAACCCAAGAAGCTCCAACCCTTCTAAACCCGAACCCTTTAATCCCTCAACCCCTCAAGCCCAAAACCCCTGCACCCCGAAAACCCTTAAAGCCCTTAAAACCTCTGAACTTCCTAAACCCCTACACCCTATATGTTTACAGATTGATGTCAAGATTGATTTTCTCAGAGATTTATGTTGATATTCATATTGATTTGAATACTGCATTTCCTCTGGTTTCATGCTTTTTTCTATTTATTCGAATATCAATTAGGATCAATTGCTTTAATTGATTCTGTTCGAAATCAATCAGACCAAGCCCTGTTGATCCTGGTCCTAATCAATATCGGATGCTCAGGGCGGGTTGAGGGGTTCACGGGTTCACGGGTTGACACATTCACGGGTTCACAGGCAGGTTAAACGGGTTAAAGCGTTCACGTGTTCACGGGTCCGCAGGTTCACGCGTTCGCGGGTTCACGCGTTCGCGGGTTCGCGGGTTCACGCGTTCACGTGTTCACGCGTCCACGGGTTCAGGGTTCACGGGTTCGGGGGTTCACGCGTTCACGGGTTCACGCGTCCACGGGTTGGCGGGTTCACGCGTTCACGGGTTCACGCGTCCACGGGTTCGCGGGTTCACGCGTTCACGGGTTCACGGGTTCACGGGTTCGCGGGTTCACGCGTTCACGCGTTCACGGGTTCACGGGTTCACGCGTCCACGTTCGCGGGTTCACGCGTTCACGGGTTCGCGGGTTCACGTGTTCACGGGTTCACGCGTTCACGGCTTCGCGGGTTCACGCATTCACGGGTTCACGCGTTCACGGGTTCGCGGGTTCACACGTTCACGGGTTTACGGGTTTACGGGTTCACGGGTTCACGGGTTCATGCGTCCGCGTTCGCGGGTTCACGCGTTCACGGGTTCGCGGGTTCACGGGTTCACGAGTTCACGGGTTCGCGGGTTCACGCGTTCACGGGCTCACGCGTTCACGGCTTCGCGGGTTCACGCGTTCACGGGTTCACGCGTTCGCGCGCCAGCACAGGGCTAGATACTGTACATGAGTGCTGAAATGACGTGGATGGCTTATCATACGCCAAATGTGCCAGGCAGGATCGCCTACTGAGTCCTACTGGATTTACTATGCTGGCTCCTAGCAAAACAGCGTATTGCATGGTCGTTGTGAGTTGTGACGCTCTGCACTTCAACACGCTGCAAGCACGCATCAGGGCTGGGAACTCGCTGCCGTTTTCATGCTTTTTGTGGACATGTGAGCATTATTATTGGTGAGTGAGCTGAGCGCACGGAGTTTAATGTGCAGTCCAAAAATATCAACATGAATTTTCTTTAGCAGCTTGAAGGAGTTTTGTCGCAGACAGGGAGGGCAAACGTTGACTTGTGCTTGCTTGTTTTGACGTTGAAGTGCGGCGGCCAAGTTTTCTCACGAGGCCCGCCCGCCCTCCCTGGGCTTTTCTTTTCGGCTTTTCTTTTCGGCAGTTTTTCGCAGTCAGCACAGGCCTCACTTTGAGGCGCCGAGACTGTGAAAGGAGCTGCTACCGCCATCTGGTCTGTGTTGACGTGGATGGCTTATCATACGCCAAATGTGCCAGGCTGGATCGCCTACTGGATTTACTATGCTGGCTCCTAGCAAAACAGCGTATTGCATGGTCGTTGTGAGTTGTGACGCTCTGCACTTCAACACGCTGCAAGCACGCATCAGGGCTGGGAACTCGCTGGCGTTTTCATGCTTCTTGTGGACATGTGAGCATTACCTGTGTGATTAACAAGATGCAAGTCTCCGCCAGAGGAGGAGGTGTATCATCGCTCTCCGCCTTAGGTGAGCCTGTCTCCGGTTCTCGGCAGGTTCAGTGCTTTAAAATGCCTTGGATTGGAATGTACTTGCAACATTGATGCAGGGGTGCGGGGGACTGCCGTTGCTTTGTCTTGCGGCTGCTCATTGCGCGAGCTTTTCCTGAATTCATGAGTACGTAGGCCGTCCGCCAGCCCTCCTGGATTTTAACCTGGATTCTCTCTCCCCGGCGACAACAACAATGCCTGGAGAATCCAGATTTGAAACATGGTTTTAACGTGGATTCGAATCTGGGTTTAACCTGGGTTTTAATCTGGATGAAAATCGTGGTTTCGATTGCTTGCTGCACGTGATGCTTTGCTGAACTCTTCTCTCTGCAAAAGTGTGTGAAAGGCAGGCTCCATGGTCTGGTTTCTTGCACAACGGGCGTCGTCGGAGCAAAAGAGCAGCCCAGCCGTTGAGCTGGTTCTCGAGCGCGAGCTGGCCTGATAGGGAGAAGCATTGCACCAAAATGGGTTCGTCAAATCGGACAAAAACTGAATGTCGAAACAAGCAACTGGAAAGATGCCAGCCATTTGCTGCATGAACATATTTAAAAAACGTGGCAGTACCCCGTGCTTCTGAATCTGCTTTCCGCCGCAGCGTGGTGCGTGCGTTGCAAACTCTGCGATTCCACAGCGTGGAGCGTGTACTGTGTGGAAACAGCGAAATCTGGCGTGTAGCCTCATAAAACGTGAATCCATCTTCGAATGAGCGCTTTATGGAAAGAGAAATGCTTGGAGATCTGCTTTCCACCAGCGTAGTGTAGGAAATGGTCAAGGCTGGACGCCAGAAACGGCGACTCCATGATGAACACATGGAGGATCCGGTACATTTTCGTCGGATTGTGGGATGTTGCGCTTGTGGACTGCGGCCTTCCACATCATTGGCTTCACAATGGGCATGCTCAGGGCCCTCTGCAGGAGCAGTGCTGCTACGGATCGCACGGTCTCGCGGCCCACTCCGGTGGCAGGCTGGGCTCAGGAGTTCGTGTGTGTGAGGCCTTGCTTGACACGACCTTCAGCTCATCTGCCCTTGTTTCCTTGCCCTTGCGAAGCCCACTCTTGTGGGAAGCTGGGCTTGTGAATGTGATGTGCTTGCGCGTCGACATCGTTTAGCATCCTTTGTAAAGGTGCAGCGCCAGCTGTCATGAGTGCCTCCTTGCCAGTGGGTGACCTTCTCTGACAGTGTGTGGGCCATTGTGCAACCCGCTCATGGGAAGCCGGACAATCTGTGTATGCGGCAGTGCGCTACCCAGTACCACTGGATAGCGGGGCATCTGAGCGGCTGTAGCAGCTGGTGCTTTCCAAAAGGCTGAACGATATCTGCCGGCTAAGTCTGCAAGTCGCAGCCTGTCTCACCAGGATTTACATAGTCTTCTTTTGTACAGTTGTTTGGCTTATTGACTTTATTGTAGTTCTTGCTGGGACCGAGTGCAGCAACTGCTGTCTTTGAGGCCCGCCCACGCCAAAAAAAAAATTGCTGCGTTGCGTCATGAGAGACAATTTTTCGATTTGAATCTTAGCACTAGTAAAGGAAAATCTGTGTATGAACTTTTGAGTTCCAGTTCAATTGATGGAACAGCAGATGTGCAGTCCATGTTCTGCACAGATCATGTCATCCAATTAAATTCTTGTGGATTCCCTGAAAAACATTTTTTGGAATCATTGTAGCCATTTTCATTTTAATTACAAACGTTAAGCAAGTTTTCTTTGCAGGTTGTCGTAGATCTTTGCAGATTGCAGTTGCTGACTGCGAGTTTTAGTTGAACAGTTCTTCTCACACATTTTGCAAAACTTGTGGAGGTAAGCGCAGCTGCATGTTGGACAGCTGTTTCCATGTTGCAGGCAGACACAACAAAGTGGAACGGTACGTAATCAAGTTGAATCCGCTGAGGGCTCGGAAAACGGTTGTACACCTTTGCATGTGCATTTACTGGGATAGACCGGGAGTTCTGGAAACACGCGCGAGATGATGCAGCGCTGAGATTGGGTTGTAACTTGTGTAAACATGTTTCCGTGGACGGATTTTGAGTTCTGTTGAATTTTTGGCACGACAGCCAGCCGACCATGTGAATGAGGTTGCAGGATGCAGCGTTGAGCCTCCCAATGTTGGTGCTACGAGCCCCACTCCGCAACACTCACTCCACACCCTCTGGAAGAGCCAATGTGTGGGATATCATTTGCAGAGTGTACGAAGGGTCAGAGATTTCGATGTTGAAGCGACCGCATGCGCTTGTTGTGCAACTTTCATTTGGACGTCATTCATGTCTGGTCATGCACAGCTTTTGGAATTTTCCAAGTTTATTGAATTTCAGTTGGTCGCTTGTTGTGAAAACGTACGTGAGTTAAGTTAAGTGAGACCTGCGAGATCGGACCACCTCAGATGTTGGCTCAATGCGGCGCGGCTGGTGGCACATGGCATGATCTGTTTATGACATATGGCGCACAGATTCAGCGCAAACCCACTACGGCATTGTCTAGATTCCCATGTCGGCTTGGTCAATCCAGATCTAGTTTGTTTGCGTGTCTCCTTGCAAGCAGGCTTCGACATAATAAACTGTGACAAATGACTATCAAGGAAGCATCTACTCACGGACGCAACGGAAGTACTTGCAGCACTTCTCACAACCCCAAACCTTACACGCTGAACACCAATTCTAAGACACTACTCTTGGCAGCGGTGCCATGAGCGGCTTGAGCGTCACGGTCGATGAAGCACTGTCGTTGGTGAAAGTTCCCTTGCGGGGCTTCTACTCAGCTGGGGTGGTGCAGTCCGTCTTTAAGTTCTGGTGTGCAGACATAACTGACGAAGACGACCTGGTGCCCGCCGAGAAGCTGCAAACTTTCGTCGCAAGCTGCAAAGCCCTCCAGTGCCCCGAGGCAGGGACAGTTGCCTTTGACCCATCATGCCGCAATCCGGGCGGAATTGAGTTTGATGTAGGACATACCAAAACCCATACAATACTCACAAATAACCGGGCAATCGCTTCCACGTAGAACATCGCAGATGCTACATTTGAAGATGTGTGTTCTTGGAGCATGCGTCATGTATGGAAACTTGCAGTCCCCGACTGCGCATCCTTTTGCTCAGCTGCACGTTAAAAGCCTTGTATCCGAAAAACCCTTCGTCAGGAAAGGGCTCGTCACCGGTGTGCGGCGTGCGCTTACCCTGTCCACGAGGAGTTCAGGGGGCCGTCCCGCGATGACAGCGATGTCAAGCGCTGCAGCAAGGGTTATAAGTGCTACTGCAAGTGCTAAAGGGGGTATTGTGGTAGGAGGTGCCAGGGGCTTTGTTGGGCGGCTCGGACTGCTGGCTCTTTCGTCTCCCCGAGTCTTGACATTTGGGTCTAGGGTTTGAGGTCTGCCGGAAGAAGCTTCAACCTTTGAGTGGTCTCTCGCCAAGAGGAGCCCGCCTTTGGCGGCTTCTGCTGCAGACTGTGCCACGAAAGCTGGAAGAAGGGCTGCCTGGCTTAGCATTCTTGCGCTTCAATACGGAATCAAACTGTTCTGCCAGCCCGGAAGCTCGCAAACCTGGTGATTCCAAGGCAGCCGCACTCGCCACGGCAAAAAATGCCAAGCATGGGACATCAGGATCGCCCGTGATTCGTTCAGTTGCAAACGTTTTGGTACAAAGCTTTCGTTTCAGGCGACGAGTTTGTGCTAAATTTGATTTGATTCTGGAAGCACCCTAAACCCGAAACCATAGACCACATGGTTGCAGGGGCGATGATCGCCTTCTGCGTGTCGCGGCGCTGCCGGTGCCTCCGCTGCCTCCGCTTGAGGAGTGCCGGCACATGCTGTCGCCCGGTATGGGTCATGGAACACATTCTACGACGACGAGATCGAATACGATCCCACCTTAGGTGCAGTTGCCTGCTCAGGCTGACCTGTATCTTTGCAATGTCAGTAACGGGCGACAGCACGCGACGATGCAGCTTGCATTCGGAATTTCATGGTTCAGGCACGTTCCTGAAGCGGTCAAGACCCACAGTTGCAATGAGGGCTCACATGCCGAGAAACCACCGCACACCACACACCATCTTACCCCAACCAGAGGGTGCCATCTGTGCCACCGGGTCGCAAGTTCGAACAGAATGCGCTTCGATGCTTGTCGGTCAAAATTCCAAGTACTAAACCCATTAAGACTACTAAAACCACGAAGGCTACTACACCCGGTACAGAACTACGACAATTACATAGACTACCAAAACGGTTAGTACTGCTGGAACACCAACAACAACTACTACTACCATCACCACTATGACTACGACGACGTCGTCGACGACGACTACTACTACTAGTACTAGTACTAGTACTACTACTACTACTACTACTACTACTACTACTACTACTACTACTACTACTACTACTACTTCTACAACTACTACTACTGCTGCTACTAGTACTACTACTGCTACTGCTACTGCTACTGCTACTGCTACTGCTGCTGCTACTGCTACTGCTACTGCTACTGCTACTGCTACTGCTACTCCTACTACTACTACTACTGCTACTGCTACTGCTACTGCTTCTGCTTCTGCTACTGCTACGACTACTGCGACTACTACGACTACTACGACTACTACGACTACTACTCCTACTGCTACGGCTCCGACTCCGGCTCCGGCTCCTGCTCCTGCGCCTGCCGCTGCTGCTGCTGCTACTACGACCACAAGTACTACAACCCTGATCGCTGTTACTAGTTGCCTCGCTGTGACGATCGCTACCGTGCAGGAGACGCCTCGGCCGAGCACTGCCAAGAGGCCAGTGGAGAATCTTGCAGGCCGTGATGCGCTGCTCAGCAGTTTTCATGGCTTTGGGGCCTTTGGAAGGCCCAGATCCCTGGATTCGTCAAATGTCTTTGGCAAGTCGGGCTTCTGCAGCTCTCTTTCGCAGGCTCTTCGAGCAGCTTGACGGTGTCTGCTCAAGGCTCAGCCTTGTACGTCGACAGCGCTCCACCCCAGACTCAACATCTTGGTGCCTGAACGCAATAGCTCCGACCAGCAAAACCCGGCCATGTCACGACAGCGAAGAACGCCACACATTGCGCACTGCATTTTAATGAATTTCGGGGTGCATTTTGGCTTTGGTATGGTTTGTTTGGTTCGCGCTTTGGCCCGTCTCCGTAGTGAGGAATGCTGCGCAAGCATGGAGACACTAGGTCACGGCAAGAGCGAACATGTCGCCACTTGAATTGCGAATCACTAAGCCACAAGCTTCTGAAGCCATCCTTTCCGAAGGTGACGGTGCCGAAGGACTGTCCTGGGAGAATTTTGCCGCGTGGCTTTTCTAGCACTTTCTAGGAGTTTCTGCAGCCCGCGGGCTCACCAGGTGTCTGTATTTATTAAGCTCTTGTACTTTAGAAGTTTGCGTAACGAAGACGAGGCGCTAGTGTGGGTCGTGTTGATCTGTGCCACTTCGCACTTCACCGGGCTTTGAAGCAAGCAGTGTCTTTCGTCGTTGCAGGTCTGGCCCAAAAGAGGTGACATCCAGTGGCATGTCAGTCAGATGTCTCAGACCAACACAGCCAGCCCGCGCACCTTTCCTCTGAGGTGGTCGTCCCACTGACCCGATGTGATCAGGGGTCTGTTCGAACCCATTCGCCTTCTCGAGATAATAAGAGAGGCTTGAGGACATGTTGCGGGTTGCCCACACCGAGAGCTGTGCACTGGTGCCATGATAAGCGTAGAGAACCGGCTGGCTCAGGGTGGAATCAGCTGTAGCGGATCTCTGTTGTTTCCTTGAACCTTGAACACCAAACCCTAAACCTTCAACCCTGAACCCAGAACCCCACGCCAAAAAATCCGTAACCCTAATTAAAAAAGACCTTAACCCCATGACATCCTGAGCCTTTCAACTCCATGAGTAGTTGTCAAGATTATGGCACCTTTTCGGGTACCCTAAATATTACGTGCCGTATTATAATAAGGACCCAAAAGGGACCATCATTTTGACAACCACCCCCATGAGCGACGAGGTCTTCTGGGCTCGACGAACGACCGGCGCCGGCTCCGATCCCGTGCTTTGCAACGGCGCGGCATTGAACTCGCGTTCTTTGGGGTTCCTTTACAAGGGGTCTACAATGGGTCCGTAAAGGTGTTGCTACAAGTCAGAAAGTTGTTCATATATTGGGCCTTAGGAAGTAGAGTGGGGTACCTTTCGGCTTCTTGTGGGGGTCGATGAGAGCTACTAACAATTAGACTAGGGTGGTTTGGGGTATGTTCTAGCGGAATTATAGTGCGGACTATAGCGAGATTTTGATTACTTCTTACTTTGTGATGAGAGTCAAAGTGCCGTGTGTTTGTGGCCCTGGAGTTCCGATCTCTCTTGGCACCTGTACGAGCTCGGGCGATCTCAGGCATCGTGCACTGCAACGAGGAGCCCCTAAAGCAGCTTGGCCGGATGGCGGGTGAGTGGAAACACTTCACTAAACCCTAAAGGCCCAAAGCCCTACACCCTAAACCTTAAAACCCTAAACCCCAAACCTCAAAACCCTTAATGGTATACCCCTTCTTGTAGGCTCTGTAGTCCTCAAAGAATGGCCCTAGCAGCTCGTGGCTTCCGAGGGGGGTCTTCGGGAGCGCACGGGCCTGGGCGAGCTCCTTCTTCGGGAAGGACCAGGGTTTGGGTCTGGGCCTTTTTTGCGGGCTTTCAGGGGTTAGGGTGGGTTTGGGTTTGGGGTTTTTGCGGGCTTTCAGGGGTTAGGGTTTAGGGTGGGTTTGGGTTTGGGGTTTTTGCGGGCTTTTAGGGGTTCTAGGGCGTAAAGGGCTTATAGGGCTTAGGGTTCATAGGGTTCATAGGGTTTATAGGGTATCAGGTTCAGGGTATGGGAGACCTTAGCCGGACTCCTTGAGGAGGCGGTGTCTCACCACGACATGGTCCATGAGCGCTGGTGTGGCCTCCGCGAGGCTGCCGCCGGCGTGACGAAGTACATGCTGTTTCATGACATGGCTCTTGCCTTCCAATTTCCAGGCAATCGAGCAGGCTTGCCCGTACACGAGCGCGCGACTTGGCTAAGCGAAGTATTGCTAAACCCCAAACCTCTAGACTCTAAACCCAGTGGTTCATTTTTCCCGATGCATGGATCGCGGCAGGTGGTCCGGCATCTTCATCTACGAGGTTGTCGCGGAGGGCTTTGTCGGGCTTGGCATCGGTCGGACGATGGACTGGCTCCGCAGTTCCCTAAACAACTACTTGGATGATCATGGGACTTAGTAACTAGGGTTATAAGTACCTTAATTGGGCATAAGTATAGCTACTCTAATTATAACCCTCGTTACTAAGTCCCATGATCCTTTAAGTAGGGCCGGGATAGGGATATCCCGAACAAGCTCCTTTCTAGTGAAGCCCAAGAAGGTAGGGATATCCCTTGTGAAACCCAAGAGCGGGTGTTCGGTGTTCCAGTCCTGTGGTGTTTCGCTACGGACATCGAACGCCTCTTGCTCGGGGATTTAGGGGCAGAGTTTTTCAGCAGCTGGAAGCCCAGAAGCAAGAGGAAAGCAGGCTTCGAGGTTGAATTAGACCCGAGCCCCATCCGTGGCACACCTCAAAGAGCACGAACTGCACGAGGGCATCGAGGGGACTAGAAGTTCTGCTTGTTGATCCGCTCCTCTGCGCAGGAGTTCCGCACGCGTGCAGCTCTGGTGGCCTTGAGTGTCGCGGCCTGCTGCGGCGGCAAGGACACCGTGATTGTGCCTTTTGCTGCGCAAAGGATCATGGGACTTAGTAACTAGGGTTATAATTAGGGTAACTCTACTTATAACCCCACTTAAGGTACTTATAACATTACTTGCTAAGTCCCATGATCCTCCAAGTAGTTCGTGAATCCAAGCAAGGCATAAGCGTAGCGAGGAGAGCCGAGGCAAACCGCCAGAAGCCCAGGCAATTTGTTTTTGCGCTCCTTTGTGGCGGGCGCTGCGCCCTAAACCCCAAACCCTAATACGTCCTAAACACTAAACCCTAATCCTAGAACCCTAAATCGTAAACCCCATTAAATCCAAAACCCTGAAACCTAAACCCTAAACCGTAAACCCCATCCGTGCCAGGATTACATTATAGAACCCTACTACATCCCGTATAGACCCCTTTAAGGATCCCTTCAAAGGAACCCTAAACCCCCAGGAGTACGGGCAGGATCCCGACCTCGAGCAGCTCATACAGGTTGCCAACAGGAAGCAGTGCCTGGGAAGCCCCAAGAGGGTTAAGGGTTAGGGTTCAGGGTTTTAGGTTTAGGGTTTAGGATGTATTAGGGTTTAGGGTTTGGGGTTTAGGATATATACAAAGAGGCCGGTCACGGTATGTCCCGGAGTTCAGGTGCCTGGACCTGCCTGGGCCTTCGGCCAAGCGCAAAGTCGAGGAGGTGAGGGATCTGAACATTCGATGCTTTCAGGCGTTTAGGGTTTAGGGTTTAGGGTTTAGGTCGTTCGGGGTTTAGGCTGCAGGGGCTTGGGGTTTGTGCCAGGAGCCGAACACCAAGCTGATCAACTATCTGCAGAAGATCAGCGAGCTGCATTCGCAGGCCCTCGTTCTCAGTAGTGAACTAAAAGTAAGTGTACTTGGAGGATCATGGGACTTAGTAAGTAAGGTTATAGTTACAGGTACCTTAATTTATTGGGTTATAGGTAGTATAGTTACCCCAATGATAACAATAGTTACTAAGTCCCATGATCCTTGAAGTCATGATTTCAACCCTAAACTCTCAACCCGAGGTTGGAGGATGCTTTTGCATTCGTTGGACGGACGTCTGAGAGCCTTCGCCCTAAACCATAAACCCTAAATCCTTAACCCTACACTTTAAACTTTAAACCCTAAACCCTAAACCCCAAACCTTTAAACCCTGGAACTTAAACCCTGAACCCCAAACCCTAAACCCCACACTTAGGCCTTAAACCCTAAACCCTCAACTCAAACCAGTGCCAAGAAACTTCCTGGCAACTCCATGGTGAGGAGCTGGAAGCTCTCAAGCAGCTTCTGTCTGACAAGAGCAGCAGCGAGACCTCCGCAGGGGAGGCCCGAACCCCAGCGCCTTCCTATCCGGTTTAGGGTATAGTTCTAGGGTTTAGGGTCTATCCATGTATCCACCTATCCCTCCATCCATCTATCCATTCATCCATCACTCCAGCTATCCATCTATCTATCTGTCTATATGATTGATAGTATCTATAGTATCGACGGTAAATTTGATATCTAAACAAGGGAATGGAAATACTAGTAGCCCCGAAGCTAGACCCTAAACCCGTAAACCCCCACACCCTAAGCCCAACTAAACTCCAAGGGTAAAAGGAGGGACCCGTAATAAGGACTCCTAGGTATATACCCTTAATATAGCTATTATATACCCATTCTATAGCCCATTATAGGGTAGGGCTCCCCACTAAGGGTCCCTCCTTTTCCCCTTTGATAAACCAGAGAATGGGAATTCTAACAGCTCCGAAGCCGCAACACCAAGGCTCTGAAGGCCAGTGCCACTTTGGAGGCCGGGTCTGTTGTTTTGGGCTCTTCAAGGGCTATGAGGATTTTATGGGGGCCTTCTATGGGCTCTAAAGGTTATAGATATCTGGGGCAGTGTAGCGCAATATTATAACATAGTATACCATGGTAGATCAGGTTATGTTGCAATATAACGTAGTGTGGCATAATGTAATAGACCTTAAATCCCAAACCTAAAACCCTGAAGCCCTAAACCCCCTAAACCACTTAAACCCCTTAAACCCCTAAAGCCCTAAACCCCTAAAGCCCTAAACCCCTAAAGCCCTAAACTCCTAAAGCCCTAAACTCCTAAACCCCTTAAACTCCTAAAGCCCTAAACTCCTACAGCCCTAAACTCTCATCAAAATACAAAAAAAACCCATCCCCAGGCTCCGAGCTCCTCTGGGGGTGGAAGCTCCTCGAGCTCCCAAGGCCCGCAGGGAGATCTGGAGCTCATCCTTACATCTGTATACATAAAGTCTATATATACATAATATATATATATATATATATATATATAATATAATATATATATAATATATATATATATATGTATATATCTATATACATATACTATCCTAGACTATAATAGAATAGAGTTTAGTATGATATAATATGGTAGAGCATAATACACTATCACAATGTGTCCGTATGTATGTATACATATATGTGTATACACATATATATGTATATGTATGTAAATATGTATGTGTTTCCACAGAATGAAATAAACGGGTAGCTGTGGGAGACGTGGGGTGATGAGACTTCCCATGCCGTTGGGCGCTGTGTTCTTACGTCTTGTGCAGCACTGCAAGCCCGCGTATTCTCTGAGGCAGCTCGCACTCCGCGACTCCCATTACGCCTTCCGGACCGGGTTTCATGGAGAGTGGACCTTCACGCATAGGAAGATGAAGAGTATGGTTGCGCCTGTGGTCAATGTCGGACGTTTCTATGCGAAGCTTCTTTGCTCACGGAAGAACGGAAGATCCTTCCGTGCAGCACCTGTGCTGTCATTTAATTTGTTGCCTCTGCTCGCTACATTACCCTAACAAAACTCGGCTCTGCTTCTTCGGTCTTGAAGTCTTTCAGAGACATCTCAATCCGACTCAATCCCGACCGATAGGGCCCGATAGACCTTGCAAGCATATTTCTAGAATAACAGAGCGTGTCTTCGGGCGCGTGCATCCTTGCAAAAACCCGATAAACCCTAAATTCTAAGCCCTAACCCTAATCCCTATCTCCGTGCCCTCCTGATGCGGTCTCGGCAGGACCACAGCATGCCAGCCGAGGTTCGGGGCGCCGGTTAAGGGGTTTTCGGCTTGGGAACTGCATTCGAGGTGTTCCGAAAAGACGGGCTATGTAAGGCTTTTTGCTCCTATGGATACTATTGTAGGTCTGGGTCATTGACATCATTTTTGAAAGCCAGGGTTTTTCGAGCTGGCACACGTTCGAAATGATAGTGTTCAAGCAGCATCGCCGGGTTACGCTCGTGCGCAGCCCGTCAAGAGCTGCGGCCGCTATGTCGGAGATGGACGTCCGAAGGTCATCTAGGGTAGAACCTGCTCTAAAGATAGATTTTCGGTTGTCCGTTCGGATGCAACCAGTGGAATGCCTGATGCGATAACACTGCCGACCCTTGATCCAGCAATTACACCTGTGCAGCAGTAGCAAGAGGAATACAGGTACACTCTGCGCTCATGAATCATGCGCTGAGCGAATGATGTAGTGAGAGCTTACTTATGTCGGATTCTTGTGCTCTGCATCTGCCTGTCGATGTGTAGAAGATGCCACCTGCCACCTTCGGCCCCCTGCATCCTCCCAAGCCCCCGCTTGCCCAGATTACCTGCGGCCGACTCCCAAATACAGGCGGGGTCGCATATCGATGTAAACTCGGAAGTCTACGCAGCGGTTGTGTGGGCGTGAAGGTCACAGCCGCTCCAGACCCGGCGGACGCCGCTGGTCCCGAAGGCCAGGATGCAAGAGGGGTTTGGGTGGCTGTAGACCGCGTCCGAGGGCTTACGGGCTGGACGACCTTACTGTAGTGTAGCTATAGGGAACTTAGATGTGCTTTCGAGGGTGCAGGTCCGCCAGAGAGGAAGAAATACTCTCATTGATCCAGCTGATAACTTGCAGCACCCCCTCCTGCTTCCAACCTTCCTACTCGATCTGCTGGCCGAGCATTGACTCGCAAGCACCTCTCTGAGCCGGAAACTGCAGTCCCAACCAAGGAGCCCTCCACCCCGCCGCCGGGCTGGAAGCCGACACCGAAGGCAAAAAAAGAGTCGGCGTTTGAAAATGGTGCTTTTGATGTGTAGAAGTGCCTGGGGATCTCGACGAAGCTGCGCCGCGGTGCGCATGCCCAAGCCAGGAGCCGCCCACTCCGCCGCCAGGCTGGCAGGGGCCAGTCCCCCCAGCTGAGGCCACGAGAAGCATCGAAGTTGTGGGGGAATCAAGTGGGTTAGGAGAGCTTCAGGGTGCTCTGGAGCACTGCACCGGGGGCTTCCAGGTCTTGACGAGCGTTTGTGCAGCCCTCCACCTGCTGCAAGGTTGCCCCTGCTGCTCCCAGCTTCCTTCTCGGTGCTCGGGAGGCCTTAGAGTTTTTGGTTGAAAGGTGGCCTGGCTGAACGTGGTGTATTTTCTGGAGAACGTACGTCTTATAAGGGCTGCAGACAGAAACCCCAGTGTCGGTATCATGAACATGCCGTCGTGGTGAGCTTCCCTTAATCTCAGGCGGAGAAGGGTGCCTGTCGACCGGATCCAGTTCACGCAAGACACTTGCGCGGACGTGTTCAGCGATGGCAGGCGCTGCGAGGATACTTTCCAGAAGGTGGTACGAGGACAGCAGCCACTCAGCAGTCAGACAGCTGGCCAGCACATCCACAGTCCACTCGGCAAAGGAGTACGCCACAGTTCTCTCGTCAGGACACATCTCCCTCGATGCAGAGTTTCTCGAGCTGGAGTGCGTAGAGACGAGCCGAGGGCTCAGCAGCTAGTGCTAGGGACTGGCATGTGAAGATGTGTGGGAGTGAGTCACGAAGCATCCGGATGAGGTTCGGGCGAGGTGAAGAGCTTCAACAACCGCCGGCTCCGCCTCTGGAAGCGCTTGCAGCAGCGCTCTTCAACGCAGCTGATGGTCACCTGCAAGGTGCGTACGATGGACCCCGACTTCGAGAGCTGCCTTGAGCAAGTCTACGAGTTGCAGGACAGAGAGTGCTTCCACCAGCAGAAAGAGCTCATGATGAAGGTCCTCTTTCATAGAGACAGTGAGTATCGAGGTGATATCCGGGTTCGACATAGCAAGCGAAGGCACAACTGCTGGTGGTCCTAAGTCTCTTTCAGCACCTGAGCTTTGGAAAAAGTTATGGTTGGCTGTGTGCCGGCTCATGTCAAACATAGGTCGATGAAGCTGCATCTGCGGGGACGAAGAGGCTGCTGGTAACTCCTTCCGGTCAAACTTTAGCTATCAGGATAGCCAAGATCTCGAGGCCTTGAAATCTTTGCATGGGCCCGTATCTCAACTCCCAAACCTAAATGCCGAAAAGTGCTTCCTGGCCTTTCGTTCCCACGCAGCATCAACGGCGAAGCCTCCCGAGTGTACAGATGTTCCGGTCTGTAACGGTAGCTCAAAAGGCTTCCCCCCGTAAAGCTGCAAACAGCCTAGTGTTTAAACGCAAAACTCCGTATCTTGTCACGGTACTGCTCAGCTCTGCTCCCGCAAAGACGGAACCGTTCAAGAGTATGGCCTGCGTGGCACTGCTTCTGCACTGCCCGGCGCGCGGCAGTGGCTAGAGCAGCTAGATCGAAATTTGGGGCACCGGAGGAGAGTCCGATCCACGTTTTTCGCAAACTCCCGGAATCCCGACCAAGCCACTGAGCCCCCCAGTTCTGCCGTGAAGATCGCCTCTTCCCGGGTCTGCCTCACCGGCACATCCGTGCCGAGCAGTGCTTTTAAGAGGCGAAAAACAAGCCCACTCTGCACACGTTCTAGCTTGGGTTTTGGCTCTTTCGTCGGCAAAGTTGAGATGTAGAGCTGTTTTCGTATTTCCATGAACCGAGATACTGTTGGTTCGACTGAGGCCGACGCTTGGCAGATCACTTTGTTTCCAGTGTTCTGTAGACCAAGCGACCACTGCCCAGTATTGGCATGCCTTGCAGTCATGGAGCTGTGAAAGGTTGCCTGGCCGAGCCTTTCTGTTCAAGCCTGCGTCAAGTTTGGCAAACATTCTCAGATTCGTGTGCAGCTATCTGTATGTTGTACTATGTCCAAGCGATCATACTGATCTCACTTACTCACCTGCAGTCAGGGACTAGTTCAAGTTCATGGTCCGAGAGAGTGTTCAATGCGCAAGCTCGCGTTCTTTGTCTGGGCTGCTGCTCTACTCATGGAGTCCTGTGAGCCGGCTGCATCTGGCTTGATGTCGAGTCAGGCGTAACGTAACAACACGCGTCCTCGTCGCCGTCGTCGTCCTCGTCCGTCGTCGACTATTGCTACCAACAGCTCATCTTCACCAGCTGCGGCAGTGAGCTGCAAGCATTTCAACCCTGACTATGACTATGAGGATGATGATGCTGCTGCTGGTGGTTGTGGTGATGGTGATGTTCAGTATGATACCGATGATGTGCAGGATGGTGGCCGCCGCCGTGATGTTTTGCGATGGCACATGATGTTGACAGTTCCACGACTCAGAAGCCGCTCTGCCTGGCACATGAGGTCGGCATGGCTCTGTGCAGCACTCCTTCGCTCATGCGCCACGTGCGGGACCCAATTCGGCCGCCGCCTTAACAACTGCATGGATAGATTTCAAGTGGATTCGCTTGTGCCCAGAGTGTGTAGCAACGGGATACTGTCTGGGACCAAAGTCTCTTGTGCACGCATCTAGAACAGTGCTTCATGTTCGTTAAACCTTTGTGATACAGACCTGGCACTAGCAGTCACAGCACTTGCGGGACTGTCGGAGCTGTTTTGCCTGCATGCGTTTGCAGTTGACTACTTGCCACGAAGCCCAGGATGCGAGCGGTGTGATTTTCCTGGAGCCCAGTTCTGCATCTGTGAGGTTGTCAAATTTCAGGCAGTGCTGCCCCTATCAAGCGGAAGAGCTCTCAAGAGTCTTAACGGGTGGTATTTACACGTTGCAAAGATGTGCAAAGGCTTGGCATTAGCATTGGGTGTAACCTTGATGGTTGCGAGTGCTGCCATTCATCTTCAACTGTGCCCCATCCAGGACTGTGACGATTGCCTATATCAAAACGGTTGGGCCACAGCGGACAAGCTCACAGACACTTGGCCACGAGAGTGTTGATATGTACATGCCGTACTCGAAGCCTTAAGTTAGCTAACGCCTTGCACTCCCAAACCCTCAACCCTAAACCCACCCAAACTGCATCATGAAATATGAGACCTCGAAAAACCTCGTGAAGCCCTCCAGAGCCTCCAGGATTCCCAGGGTCGGAGAGTCATTCAGAGATCCCGCTTACCCCGAAACCGGCTCTGTCAGCGCGAGCTCAGGAGAGCATCGCTTCGTACACAACGCGTCTGGGGGTCAGCAAGGATCAAGCTTACGCTCTGTCTTGAGCTCAGAGGTGTTTCGACTTCGGAACTTGGAGGATGTTGCAAATTGTGGGGTTTTAATGAGTTCAGGGTCTAGGATCTTGGGGTACAGGATTTAGGGTTAACGGCAAACTTCGCTAGTCACACTCGCCAGCTGGGGATCTGCTCCCTTAGTCGGGGTGCGTTCGAACTGAAGCTTTTGGAAGCTACTGGAAGCGTTCGGTGGTCCTATCAAGCTCATACGAGCCATATCAGCATCAGATCTAGTTCCGTAAGCCGTCCAAAACTATAGCAAAGTCCTAGAAAAGCTTAGAAGACTCTCCGGAGCGATGCCAGAGATAGGTTTGTACCCCAAGGAAGGAAAACCCCTGAACCCTAATATCAGAACCCTTCTCGAACGCCCCCTAAACCCTAACCCCGAACGCCTAAACCCTAAACCCCTAAACCCGATGCCCTGAGGCCCCCAAAACCCTTATCCCCCAAAGCCCTAAACCCCTAAGCCCTAAACCCATAAACCCTCAGACCTCCAAACCCCCAGGTACAAAGAGCACGGCACCGCCCTCCGGGGCCTCCTCGCCCAAGGGCTCCTCGATGCAGCCGGGGCAGAGAGGTGCGCCTTTGGGAAGAGGGGGTCAGGGTTTAGGGAGTAGGGTTTAGGTAGGGTCTGGGGTTTAGGGTCTAGGGTTTAGGGGGGTTTAGGGTTTAGGGGTTTAGTGGGTGGGCTTTGGGGGTTTGACGAAGTGTATGGTTTGAAGGGTTCTTCAGGGTTTCAAAGTTTAGGGTTTTACCTGACGTTTAGTGTTTCGTGATTTGGGGCGCCTTGCAATCAGCTTGCCTCACCCCTGAACGTTTATACATATAATCAGACCCTGAACCCTAGACCCTACAAACCCTAAACTCTAAAAACCCTAAACCCTAAAAACCCCTAAACCCTAAAACCTCAAGGATCAGGCCTTGGGGTTCTTCTCCCCGGTAGCTCGAGGCTTTCGGGAGCGTGAAGGGGGTGCCTGTGAGAGCTTCGAAGTTTGGGAACTCGGCGCACCTCGATGGGTGATGTTGGATCGGGACTTGTGAGTCTCATGCGCAGTGTGGTGTGGCGGTTGAGGTTCAGAATTTCGGGATGGGGAGTTTAAGACTGAAGAGTTTAGGGGCTTCGGGTTTACAGTAGGGCTTTTGTGTGTCGAGGGTTGTTTCTCAAGGCGTCTTTCTGGCGCTTCTTCAGTTGGTCGTGAAGTTCTGCAGCAGACGGTTTCAGCAACATTATCTGTGTCTGACATCGTGTTTAGGGTTAGTGATTCTGCTCGGATTCCGGGCGTTGCTATGGTGGCACGTTAGCTGGGCATTGGTTGGCATGTAGCTGCACCAAATCTGCCCGGCATGCAGGTACCTGCGCGAGGTGCACGACATAGACTATTCGGACCCTCGGCTGAGCACGTGTCCCGTTTAGTGGGAGAGCGACGAAGAACGAAGCTGTCATTCTGTGCGTGTGCGAGCCGGAGGCTAAGAGCCAATGTACAGAAACTCCAGCAAGCATCACTGTTCAGACTTTCGAGGACATCCAAGAAGACGCTGCTCTGGATGCCATTTTGGGCCGGCTGAAATGTGACTGGCCCGTCTGGATATTCACTGCCTCAACAGCAGAGCGTCTTGTCACACAGAGCAAGACCGTTGATTTTGTTGTTGAAGTGCCAGGCCTTCTGTTGCACAGAATACATTGAATATATGTCTTGAACGAGCGAACGAACTATGCAACGCGAGCCCCGTTTTTCAGTGCCGTAGCAGCAATGATTATAATATAAGTACAGTAGCATTGCAGCAGCAGCTTCCTGTGCCGTTACTCTTATCCTTTCCGCATGAACTTTGCAGATGCGTCACCATCTGCCTCATAATCAAGATGACTATTGCTGCAGTTGAGTGCTCCATACACACGTCCGCTTCCGTCGGTCGTCTCCGAGAAGCCAGTTGAGAGTTTTAGAAACTTGGCCCTAAAAGCGGGCCCTCAATGGGTCCCTCAATGGCTCCTTCTCATGCACCCCCCGAAAGAAGCCCCCCTTGCTCTGAGTTTTGCCAGCCTTTCAGTGCATCGGCCTTCAGGCATGCGCAGCGCTGCCTGGAACTCAGCGACATAGTTGGAGGTTCGTGGTTGGGTTATAAGTAGGGTAACTGTGCTTATAACCCATACTAGGGGACTTATAGCCCCACTTATAACTACCCATGAACCTCCAAGTAGTTGTGCCAGGTTTGCAGTTTGCCCGTAAGCCAAGCCAAAGTCGGAAACTCCAAGATGCTGGCACACTTCTCCCTTTCCTGAGGCCTTCGGCGCTTGGGCCTCAACTCCCTGCGGCTTTCCGGCATCGTCGACACCCGAGCCTGCAAGCTCCCGGCTCAGCGCCAGAACTTGTCACTTGTCAGCCCTTCCCAGAGAGCCCAATACCCCTTAATAAAGGAATATAGCTTAAATCATATAGGGCTTCATATTATGATTTAAGCTATATTCCTTAATTAAGGGGTATTGGGCTCTCTGGGTTCCCTCCTCTGAGCACTGCGTGCGACCCAGCAGCGGCACCTGTCTCGATAGTTCAAGAATGCGCTCGCGCAAGCCTACCTGGCACAGTACCTCTTCCGCAGCCCCAGAGGAAGCTATGTGGGAGTTCCCAAACAGAGCGCAGTAGAAGCAGGAGAATCCCGAAGCATTCCCAAAATTCTTGCACTAGCATGACGGTAGTTGGGTTTCTGATTCGGGCTTGAATTTAGGGTTTGGGATGTTTAGGGTACGGTTTCCGGTTTTGGGTTTGGGGTTCTGTTTCGGGCCTGGCACATTTCAGGCTTCTTGGTTCCCCATTCTTTGGTGTACTGGGCCAGAGGGCCTGGGATCGTCGAGTGCCCCTTGTAGCAAAAGATATCCCAACACTCCAAAGTCCGAGCCAAACACACAGCACCGCCTCGATGCTAATCATGCCCCCTCCCCGCCCAGAAGCTTCGACCATAATCCTTTGGCATCACCACCTCATCCGGTTCCAAAAGTGCTTGCACTCCCTTGTGCGATGGCAACAGAAATGCCACAGATGCCCTGTTGCCTTCAAAACCCTGAACCCTAATATGGGTTATAAGTACAGTTACCCTCGTTATAACCCCACGTATGACTACCCTAATCCCCAAACCCTATAGAACCCTTAAAGAAACCCATAAAGGAACTCTAAACCCTTGTAAACCCACTTATAACTACCCATGAGCCTCCAAGCAACACCATCCCAATGCCTGCAGCCTGCCGAACCTTGCACGCGCCTCTGAAACCCTACTTAAAGGATCATGGGACCTAGTAACTAGCGTTATAATTACGGTAACTATACTTATAACCCCAATTAAGGTACTTATAACCTTACTTACTAAGTCCCATGATCCTCCAAGTACTGACTAAGCCCTTATCCCCTGCATGATCCTAAAAGTGCCTGCAAAACAGTCATCAAGCCCGATAAAGCTCTACAAACACGGCCTTGTAGTACGACTTGAGAAGAACCACTTAAGCTCTGAAGCCCTAAAAGATCTTTATCACAACGGAACCCTATAGAGTCCTCATTGCCAGAACCCGAAAAATTTCGAAGCCTAAACCCTAAACCCCTGAACCCCTATGGATCCCTTGAAGGAACCCGTATAGTGCCCTTGAACGGAACCCTAAACCCGAACCCCACTTTGAAAGACGAAAAAGGCCCGAAACCCGAAAGCCCAGAGGCTGGAGACAAAGCACCCTTGAACCCTTAAACCCTTAAACCCTTAAACCCTAAACCCTTAAACCCTTAAACCCTTAAACCCTTAAACCCTAAACCCTAAACCCTTAAACCCTTAAGCCCTCAAACCCTTAAACCCCGAAGCCCTTAAACCCTAAACCCGAAACCCGAAAAATGCCCCGAGGCTGGAGACAAAGCATTCTCCGGGCAGCTTCGAGGTCGCCATGGCCGCGGCTGGGGGCGTCAAGTTGGGGCCTCGGTTGGGGTTTGGGGGGCTTTAGGGTTTATAGGTTTTTACAGCGTTTTGTAGGGTTTTATAGGGTTTTATAGGGTTTTATCGGGTCTTATAGGGTTTCTAGGGTTGATAGGGTTTACAGGGTTTGGGGTTCAGGGTTGTGGGTTTACGGTTTAGGGTCTGGCGCTTTGGAGTTAATAGCTACAAGAACTTGCAACCCCATATGAAGTAGTTATCGGTGCGTTTGTTTTGGGCCGGCAGCGCAGAGGGTGCGGTTGGAACGCTGCACAGACCTTATCATGCTTTACTTAGTGCAAGACTTAGTGTCGTGTCAGTGGGTTATGTGGTCATCACGCTTGCCTAGCAGGCTACCTGGACGGTGGGGAGGAAGACGCATGAGCGAGGTTTGGCGACATACGAAGAACGCAATGTCATGTGTTCCCAGCTGGCATATTGGCACTTGGGCCAAATAGACGAATCCCGCTGGAAAGGGCACGTGGGCCCATCAGGGATAGCCCATCGCCCTTTCGCTGGGCACGGCCCCACATCTCAGGGGCGGACGGGCGGGAAATATTGGCCGGAGGAGGAATCGCCTCAAATCTTAACTTTTATCACAAGACATACAGAAACAGCCAGAAATAGGGAAGCGGTTTCTGGCTAGCCCGTGTGATCGACCCGTGAACCTCATCTCGCCAAGCACTGCAAGGCACCCGAATGTCCGAAGCCCCTCAAGTACTTAAAGGATCACGGGACTTAGTAACTAGGGTTATAGTTAGGGTAACTATACTTATAACCCAATTAAGGTACTTATCACCTTACTTACTAAGTCCCATGATCCTCCAAGTACCCTCGAATGCTGTCAGAAGCTAAGCAACCGAGAGAAAGGATCCTTACTGGAGCTCCGAGCACTTCGGAGCTTGGGATGATTTCAGGTCGAGGCTTTTGAAAATAGCGTTTGCAAGGCCTCGGCCTGCTAAACCCAAAGTCCGAAAGCCCTATCCCTGCACGTCCGCGCCCTCTGAACCAGGGCCCGAGCAGCAGTACCCCTAGCAGCCTTTCTTGTGTGCCAATCTCTCCGCAATGGGCTGCTGCGGGAGCGTTTCGGATCCGAGCACCTACCTGAAGCCCCATGCTCCAGGAAAGACGCTCGTGCAGGGCCTGGTACCCTGGTACCTATGGCGGGTGATACACCGTTTTTTTGGTCGAGGGCTGATAAACAAGGACTGCAGAGTCCTGTGAAGTGTTTTTGTTTAGAGCTTTGAGTTCTGACCTATGCACTCCGAGCCCGATGCGAACCCGTATTTAAGTTCCCAAGTTGACTGGGCCCTTGCGAGCAAAACGCTGGGCTTTGAAGCCCGAAACCCAGACAATGTGAACCATAAACTGCGGGCTTTTAAAGTTGACTTGCTAAGCTTGAGGTCCTGAAGCTGAGTAGACCCTAAACCCTAAACCCTAAATCTTAAATCCTAAACCCAACCTCAAAAACTCGCCCGAGCTTGGATCAAAACACCTCTCCAGGTGGGTGCTGGCCCCGCCCGTCCTTTTACCATCGAGCCGTGGATGACTTCGCAGAAGACGAATCCCGTTAAGATGCTGGCAATGACCGATTCTCAGAACCAGGCAGGTGGGTTTCGGTGAACGAGTTTTAGGCTCTGAGTGGGTTGGAGAGGGGTTCAGCGGCACCCAGTGTGTTATGCTCAGATGTGGATTGGATTCAGCAAAGAGCTGTCAACTTGTTTGGTTTGTGCAGGAACCCTAAACCCTGAACCCTAAACCCTAAACCCTGAACCCTAAACCCTAAACCCTAGGCTTATTGCAGGCTCTGCAAAAGCTTCAACCTGGAGTCCGCAGCCCTCACGCCCAAACCCTAAACGAAGCGGCAAGAACAAGCAGAAGCAGAAGAAGAAGAAGAAGAAGGCGAAGTACTAATAGTACAGTGGTGGTAACAGTATCAGTAGCAGTAGCAGCAGCGGTAGCAGTCACAGTCGCAGTCGCAGTAGCAGCAGTAGGAGTAGGAGTAGGAGTAGGAGTTGGAGTATATAGGAGTAGCAGTCGTCGTGGTAACACTTCCAGGAGCGGCTATGTGGCCCGAACACTGCGCGTGCAAGCAAATGCAGCGGATCCAGCAGCAGCAGCAGTAGTAGCAGTAGAACCCGCTAGCAGCGGCAGTCAGAGGAGGAATGCTTCTGGTGGCGCTCAAACTGTCGCTTAAGACCTCGTTTGATAATTTTCACTGCACTGTCAAGAGGCTAGAAGGAGGATGTCCCAGGCTCCCAACGTAGCTCTGAATCCCTCCGACTTCAGTATCAAGCTCTTAAGCTCCGCTACAGCTGCGTTGGCAGAAAGCATTCTCCATGTTGTAACTTTGGCATCTGAGTCCCTTACAAGCTCTTTCAATACCTTTGGAGGCCGATTAGAGCCCAAAGCCTGTCAAATTTCTTCCTGAGCGCATCGAACAGGTGGTCTTCTCGGTGTCCGGCAGCTGGGTCCGTACATGGAAGTTCAGTTCATTGATTTACCACAGCATGGAAGAGCAAGAAAAGTCTGTATTTCGGGGTCCCTTACTGAGAGCCTTGAAATCGTCATGTATAATGCCTACATTGCTACACAATCCCCGTAAACACCATATCTGCAATTACGTTCCTGAACAAGAACCAAGGCAAGTGCCATGCAAGAGAGGATTCCCAGGTCGTGGATGCATCTGGCAACACAGTGGCTGCCCCTTGTCGTGAAAGTTCTGAAAGTGCAGGGTTACAACCAGGCTCTTCAGGGGTTCTTTAAGGGTTCTAGAAGGGTTTTCAAGGCTTCTCTTCAGGATCAAGGGTTTCTGGGCGTAGAGTTCAGGGATGGTCCTACATGGCTGAGGGTACAAAATCTGCCCTTCACCCGAAAATCTCCCTGAGCTCCGGACTGCCCCCAAACCGACTGAAACAACAAAGCCTTATGTAAAGGAGAGAAGCCCAAGACTCTTGAATCCCTAAATCCTACACCCGTAACTCCCTGGACCCGATACCTCAACCCTGAAACCGAACCCTACTTAAAGGATCATGGGACTTAGTAACTAGGGCTATAATTAAGGTAACTATACTTACAACCCATATTAGGGGACTTACAACCCTACTTGTAACTACCCATGATCCTCCAAGTACACCCTACACCAGCCCAGGTGCTGCGCACGGCGCAGAAGACGGCTCCCGGTTCGGGGGCCGGCTTTGAGCAGACCAGCTGGTTGATTCTGGGCACCACACCGCGGGTGGAAGGCCGGAAGCATCGGACCTTCAGGTTCTTGTGAGGTCACTTCGGTGTTTTGAAAGGCTCTTCTGGCGTTATTTAGGTCCTTTTGGTGTTTTGAAGAGCTCTTCTGGCGTTAATTAGTGTTTTGAAGGGTTACTGTGGCGTTAGGTTCTTTTGGTGCTTTGCAGGGCTCTTGTGGCATGATTCAGCGTTCTTCTACAGTGAATGCGGGTTTGAGATTCAAGGGTTGGGGTTTGAGATTCCAGGGTTGGGGTTGGGGTTGGGGCTTCATTTTCTGCACTCCAAAATTCAGGGTCTTTGTTGTTGGATTTGGTTTTGCAGATCAAGGTTTCGGGGTTTGAGTTGGGGGGATGTTGCGGGCTTCGGTGCCTGGGCTTTAGGGTTTGACGTTTGGGGGTTTTGGTGGGCTTCGGGTTGGGGCTCTGGCGCTTCTGTGGTCAAGCTCGAGCCTGCTCCGAATATACAAAAAAAGTCATAAAGCCTACACCCGAAGCCCTGGATGAAACCCTAACCCTTACACCCTGAACCCTGAACCGAACCTGCCACCAGGTCAAACACCACATCCGGAGCCGGGCTATGGACAGACGCTCTACCTCTGGGCGAAGCTCACGCGCTATCCCATGACCAACACAGCCAAGCTCTTCTTAGTAGCTCGCTTTAGGGTTTACGGTTTCGGGATTGTTGTTTGCTGTACGGTTTGGGTCGTAGATATTTGTTGATTGCCGGGAATGTGTCTGATGTACTCATGTGTTGGCGCCTTGACTTAATCGACACCACCAGCACCACCACCGCCGCTGCCGCGCCGCCGCCACCACCGCAGCCTCCATGATGATCATCATCATCATCGTCATCGTCATAGTCATCGTCATCATCATCGTCGTCCTGATCACCAGCATCATCGTCAGCATCATCAACATCATCATCACCATCATCATCATCACCATCATCTTCTCACCATCATCCTCATAGCAACATCATCATTATTATCAGCCACAGCGTCATCGTCACTATCATTATCATCATCATCATCATCATTATCCTCTTCTTGTTCATCAGCATCAGCATCATCATCATCGTCGTCATCATCATCATCATCTTGATCTTTATTTCATCACCGTCGTCATCACCACCACCATCATCATAATCTTCATCACCTCATCACCATCAACATCATTGTCACCGTCACCACCATTATCACCATCACCATCAGATCTTGGAAATGCAAAATTACAAAGCCCGGAAACTAGCATTGCTCTCAATGGCCAGACGTCCTTGTTGGCATTTCATCCGCCTGCAAGATCACACATGCTCAGAGCCACAAAACGTCTATGTTCGCATTTCATCCGATGTGAAGAGCACACATGCGCAAACCTTGACGCCGTTCTTGCTCCTTCCGATGGACAGAACGCGCATGCTCGAAAGCATTGGCTGCAAAGATAGAAGCGATGAAACAGAACGGAAAGGACCTCCCGAAACAGAAGCGTTCAACCTCCGGAAACCGAAGCCTTCAACCCTGCAGGTTAAGCAGAATGGCCAGCTCGACGAGACTAGTGATGACTTCCGTGTGAACATGAAGATCGGTCTGCGGCCGCAGAAGTTTGAGGCTTTTTGTCGCCTCTGTTTCTGCAGGGTGCCAACATTTAGGACTTCGACTCTGGACTTAGGACTTGCTTGGGGAGGAGCATTTGTGTCGCAAAGTTGCGGTTTGTTTGAAATCTTTGAGGATCAGGTTTTTGTGGCCAGATGGTCATGACATGCGTGGTTTCGAGCTGCTTGCCCTCTCACTGAAAGCCCTCAACCTTAGCCGTAATTAAGCCCTGCCTGCCCGAACCACAGAGTTTTGCCCCACGCTGAACTCGAGCGTGGGAGGCGAAGGATCAAGGGTTCGAGTCTCCTGCAAGTGGCAGGCATGGTCCTCTGCTGGCGGAGCCATGGTGGTCGATGCCACTCGACCCCTAATTACTGGTTACCAGTGTAGCTCGTTGAAAGGGCATCATGCTTCAGCGACCTGGTTGAGGTGTTTAGAGTCCATGGTCCAGGGTCGAGCTTGGTGTAGGACTTACTACCGGAAACAGTTTTGTTGCCGAGATTGCCATAGCTCTGTGGCAGTAGGAGCAGCAGCAGCAGCAGTAGCAACAGTGTCAGTCGTAGCAGTAGCAACAGAGCTGGTAGTGGTAGGAGTGGTGGTGGTAGTAGTGGTAGTAGTGGTCGTAATGGTCGTAGCGGTCGTGGTGGCCGCAGTGGTAGTAGTAATGGTAGTAGTATTGGCAGTAGTAATGGTAGCAGTAGTAGTAGTAGTAGTAGTAGTTGTTGTAGTAGTTGTAGTAGTTGTGGTAGTGTAGTGGTGGTGTAGTGGTAGTAGTAGTGGAGTCGTAGTGGTAGTAGTAGTAGTAGTAGTAGTAGTAGTAGTAGTAGTAGTAGTAGTAGTAGTAGTAGTCGCTGCCAGAGCTCACTGCATTGTAGAGCCGCGGACGTTGGAGTGGGTTTGTGGAGTCTTGTGGAAGGTTGCAGGTTGATTAATGACGCCCTTTCATATTGCAAGCATGCTCCAACCAGTGCTGCTTGGAACGTTTTGGTCCTTGTGCACGTTGCCGCCCATCCGTTTTTGGAGCAAGAGGAGCACTCGCGAGCATGCATTCAAGCCCAAAAAGCATATTCGCTCTTCTGTTCTCCATTCTTCATACTACCCAAAGATGTGACACTCACGGAACAAGAGACGCTGTCGCAAGCAGCCATTCCACGCGCAAACATGTAACAACTCGGAATCCCCTACAGCACAGAAACCCGGAACACAAGCGTAATCAGTTCGTCCGTGCTTTCTCGCGTTTCAATTTAACACACAAATCGGGTTCTATACTGTAATTGAAAGTATCCTCTACGTACCAAGGCGCTTTGCAAAGCTGTAACTTCCTAGTAGTAGTAGTAGTAGTAGTAGTAGTAGTAGTAGTAGCAGCAGCAGTAGTAGTAGTAGTAGCAGTAGTAGTAGTAGTAGTAGTAGTAGTAGTAGTAGTAGTAGTAGTAGTAGTAGTAGTAGTAGTCTTAGTAGTAGTAGTAGTATTAGTAGTAGTGGTAGTAGTAGTAGGAGTAGTAGTAGTAGTAGTAGGAGCAGGAGTAGTAGGAATAGCAGTAGCAGAAGCAGTAGCAGCAGCAGCCGTCGGTGTCGTCGTCTTCGTCGCTGTGGTCGTCGTCGTCGCTGTTATCGTCGTAGTAGCAGCAGGAGGAAAAGAAGGAAGAGTGCTGACACTCTATGTCGTAGAGGTTGTATTATTCGTAAGATGCCAGGACTTCTGCGAGAACTGTTGCAACTCTTTTCCGTAGCATTATTAGGACAACGGTTGCTTTCATGGCAAAGGCATGATGCTGTGTTTATGGTCAGGTGGTTGAGGGCTACAGTTCGTTCGTAGTGTTTTCAGACCTGCTTCAGTGGAGCCTTCTTCACAACAGTCAAGGTCAAGGACAAGAAGTACAAGGCAAGACGGTAATGTCAACACATCGTCACCTCGATTGCTTTCCCTTCACCCTAAACCCTTAACCCTAAACCCTAAGCCCTAAACCCTAAATCCCCTTCACCCTAAACCCTAAACCCTGAACCTTAAATCCCCTTCACCCTAAACCCTTCGCCCTAAACCCTAAGATGTTGTGATTTTCATTCAGACCCAAGACCTGAGGCCCCAAAGCCCTCAAGGTCAAACTCTGAAGAGGCTGAGGACTTCCTTTCGGGGTTCCTTTAAGGGTTCTATAGGGGTTTCTTTACGGGATCCTTTAAGGGATAACCAGGAGTCTTGGGCGGTCGTTAAAGGTACTCCGAGGCTAGAGACACATGGTTGATCCATCCCAGCTTCTAGCGTCGCTGCTTGTCGGGCCATTTTGTGTCGAGTTCTGGCTGGATCCTGCATCCACGCCTTCGCCACTCCGAATTCAATCCTTTTCGAACCTGCTTTCACGAGGCCGTGTTGTCACAATCAGGAGTATGCGTGTGCACCCGGATAGTGTCTACACTGAGACTACTCACGCCTACGAGTGGTGCAGGTCTTTGTGGCCGAGGGCGCCGACGTAGCGCTGCTGTATGCTTGTACGATTGCGCACGTCAAGATGAACGACGAGATCCCCAAAAACAACCCTGGTGGCGCGTGAGTGCCGAGTGGAGAGAAGAGGGTTTCAGGTTGTCGGGAGAACTTAAATATTAAAGGTTCATGGGTAGCCATAAGTGGGGTTATAAGTAATTAGGATAGCCATAATTATATAGCCCATATTAGGGGACTTATAAGGGGACTTATAACCCCACTTATAACTACCCAGGAACCTTCAAGAAAGGGTCATCTCGGGGGCCTTGCGATACTCAGGGATACTCGGAGAGTTTAAAGGCTAGGGCTTAGGGCTTCGAGTGCGGGAATTCAGGATCTTCGGTTTTCGCTCTGAGCCGTCTTGGCTCTGCGAGTCTTCGCGGAAGATGTTTGGACCCAAGGTCCCTTCGTCTGCCTCCGCTCGCCGCTGCATCAGTTGCACAGGAAAGCGGGATAATTCTCCTGCTTGCGCTGCGCGAGAAGTTTGACTCAAGCAGCTGTCCCTGTGCGCTGCTCCGCCAAACCGCAGGCTGCATGCTCAAGGACTCCGAAAACATCCCTTGTTTAGGGTTTAGGGTTTAGGGTTGGTTGGAACGATCGTCATCGGCAGCAGCAGCTGCCGCAGAAGCCATACGTGTAGTTGTTAAAATTATGGTCCCGTTTTGGGTATCCTAAATATTAGGTGCCGTATTACAACAGGGACCCAAAAAGGGACCATAATTTCGACAACTACCCATACGGTAGCAGCGTGGTAGAATGGCTACGTAGGCTAGCAGTAGCAGTTGAGGCACTGTGGTGCATCGCAGCTAAATCTTCACCTCACACGAGCAGGAATACTTGGAGGGTCATGGGACTTAGTAAGTAAGGTTATAAGTACCGTTATTGGGATTATAAGTATAGTTACCGAAACTATAACCCTATAGTCACTAAGTCCCATGATCCTTTAAGTAGACCCTATAATAGAGGCCCTATAGATCCCTTTAAAGGAGCCCTTGAAGGATCCCTAGTTACTAAGTCCCATGATCCTTGAAGTAGTACATGACATGGTGAGCCAAACGCAGTGACCTTTCCGACCTGCGAGATCCGCAGCCCCAGCTCCAAACCCGTTCTGTGCGTTGTGGCACTGTGCAATCTGACATGTAAGTTATTATGGTACATATTATAGTATATCATAGTATATTACAGAATATTAAAGTATATACAAAAGTACATACCGTTAGTATATTGTTGTAAGACGTCGGGGCAATATCCTTTGGACCTAAACTGCCTGAGTAACCCCTTCATTCCGTAGATGCGACCAAGATCCTGCCAAGGCCGCACCGGTGTGTTCTCTGTGACGACAGATACTCGGTCCAAGAGCAGTTAGAGTTTATTGCCTTGGAGATGGGATTCTTTAGGATGCAAGGGGCTTGCGCAGGAAGTTTCTTAGTGATTTCAGGTCAAGGGTTTCCAATGTGCCGGAAGGCTGAAGGGGAGCTTCCTCAACCCCCAGACCCTAAACCATCCTAAGCCCTACGTCTAGGCTTTTGCATCCATGCGATATTCTCTTAATTCCAACCTGCAAGGGACATCCTTGAGGTCGAAATCCTGAGCAGCTGCGGTGCTAACACGAATAGCAGGCATAGTAGTAGTAGTAGTAGTAGTAGCGGTAACAGTAGTGGTAGTAGTGGTAGTAGTGGTAGTAGTGGTAGTAGTGGTAGTAGTGGTAGTGGTAGTGGTAGTGGTAGTGGTAGTGGTAGTGGTAGTGGTAGTGGTAGTGGTAGTAGTAGTAGTAGTAGTAGTAGTAGTAGTAGTAGTAGTAGTAGTAGTAGTAGTAGTAGTAGTAGTAGTAGTAGTAGTAGTAGTAGTAGTAGTAGTAGTAGTAGTAGTAGTAGTAGTAGTAGTAGTAGTAGTAGTAGTAGTAGTAGTAGTAGTAGTAGTAGTAGTAGTAGTAGTAGTAGTAGTAGTAGTAGTAGTAGTCGTGGTCGCGATAGCAGGTGTGGTTGTAGCACAGTGGTACGGGTAGTGGTAGTGGTGCTGATACTGGGGTAGCCGTCTCAGTAGCAGTAGCAGGATGGAGTAGGAGGTGGGAGTAGGAGAGGAGTAGCAGCAGTAGAAGGGGTAGGACTAGGAGATGTAGGGGCAGGAGGAGTATCTGAGTTGGAGCAGGAGTGGCAGTAGTTGTGGCAGAAGCAGTGGCCGTAGCAGTCGCAGCAAGGCAGAGGCATTAGCGGTAGCGGCACACGCAGCGGCAGAAGGAGCAGCAGGAGCAGCGGGAGCATGCAGGAGCAACAAGGGGATCACCATTGATCTCGTCAAGTCGTCAAGGTCTTTGTTCCTTAGTTCAGATTCACCCACCAATTCTTGGTCCACTCGCTGTCAGTTCCTTGTTCTTTCAGGACCTTGGCTGCTTGCATCGGGGGCTTAGAATGCTTGGGCTTTGCGTGCCACGAGTTCCAAGGTACGTCTGAACGTAAGCACGCTGAAGGATGCATGGCTGTTGGGGTTGGCCCAGTTTGCGTGAGGTCCAAAGAATGTGCATGCCGCGAAGTTGGCCGGCTGGCAAACAGCTCCTCTGCCAAAATCTCGGCCTGAACCATTCGAAATGAGTTATGGCCCTAAACCTGATACACCCCGAGGGTTTCGCATAGCAGGCTTCTTAAAGCTATGCAAGAGTGGCCATCTCGGTTGCGGACGGGCAGGAGCTTGCGGGTTCTTTTGCGGCTTTACTTTTGGCGGCCATGGGTGGTTAGGGTGGGGTGTCACGGTAGCTATGCAGTTCTAAGGTGCCACGGAAACTTGTCGCTGGGGTATTTCGTTCCTTGTCGGCGCACTTTCAGCTGATTCAAACTTGTACTGAGACTCCTCAGCAACTTGACGCACATAAGCATTTGGGGTTGCGTGAGCCCTACTTAGAGGTTCATGGGTAGTTATAAGTGGGGTTATAAGGGTTTTAACCATAGATATAACCCAGATCAGGCAACTTCTAACCCCACTTATAACTACCCATGAACCTCTAAGTAAGCCAGCGTTTCAGGTGTTGGTCGGCTTTCACAGCCGTGAGACGGGCGAGAAGGTTGTGTGCAAGGCCGAAACTGGTTTAGGATTTAGGGTTCCCTAGGGTTTGGGGTTTAGGGCCGACATAAATCAAGCTATTACGTGACGCAGACCCTTTCCAATCTTTAACAGGTCTGTGATGCGTCAGGCATCGAACCCGGGTGTTGCTTGTATAAAAGTAGTTTACTCCAGGAATGATCTGACTCTGGTTGAAGCTAGTTCGGAATCGGTAATCGAAACCC